TCAAGTCTAACAATGTCACGTTTTAGCTATTCCTACTTTGTTGCAACTACTACCAGGGATCCCGAGCGAGCTTGCACTCATTTTTCTTTCACCCAGGCCACATACAACCTGAATGATGAATATCCCGACACCTGGTCGACTGACATATCAAAGGGTGACGGGAGAAAGTGGTTCCGACACCTGACGTGCTACCGTTTGCAGGGTTATGACAAGATCACAAAGGTAGCACTGCTTCGCAGTGAGAATGGCTACGAAGACTACATCGGCAAGTATGAAAACGGCTTCCTCAACGGCGGCGGCACCACCAACATCAACGAGGATCGGGGCAGTAGCGCAGATGCCTTGTATCTTATATGGGCGTACTAGTTTCTTCCAACACCATCTCTATTAGCTCATCACGGAGGCACATTCCCGCCTCTAGAGTTCTCGAGTAGAGTGGGTTTTTCCCCAGGATAGCCTGGTTTTTTCCCCAACTCTGACTCCGGTACCAGATAGGTTCAATAGCCTGATTAGAGTATAACAAATAATAGTGCGTTAGCTTGATATTGGTCCTGATCCATGCGTGCGGCTAGAGTGGTGAATAAAGGGATCTAGTCCTTAGCTATACTTCTAGAAGCATATCAAACTCGCGTAATTTGATGGTGGCTCGTTTAACCAGGTCTATGTACGCCGATGAGATGTACTATTTAGATCCCGTTGAAAGCTTGGTGGTCCCATAAAAACGACAGGGGGTAGATCCCGTTGAGAAATCGAGTAGATCCCGTTGGAGGGTAATCAGACACACAGGCAAGTAAAATAAGTTATAGTGAGATGTATTGCGTAGAGAAAGGCAAGATTATCGCGATTCAGTTAGGTGTATACTTATATCATTTTTATTCGATTTGTTTGTATTCGTATTTTGTGAGCAATGCCAGTAGGCATGCGTCGTCCAGAAGGTCGGCTGCCAGGGCCCACACAGCCTCAGCCTCAGGCAGACTTGGCAATTAGATGAATCAGATTCAATATCTAATCAAAATCAAATCAATCGCAAAAAGCCGAGATTTATTTGGATACCTGATTATTTGAATTAGCCCCACACTCGTCGACAGCGCCAATCAATGTTGCAAGTCTACCTTTACCGCTATGCTGGGAACGCCAGCTTTCGCGAACTTGCTTTTTTGCAACGTGACGACCGGGACACAAAGCTTATCTTTTTGGGAACGCAAGTTTTGTTATTCGTGACGTAGTTTATATCTGGGCAGGTTTGTCATATTATTGTGAGAGATATCCCGAAGCTGACCGTGGTAAAAGGTCATCTCTTAGCCCCTGCAATGGCCGAAACAGCGCTGAACTCCCTCTGTACTGTCCCACCCACCAATTTTAGCGTCGCAGAGAGCTCTCCGCCACTGTAATACACGTCTCGCCAGCCAGTCCATTGTCACTTGACATCCATCAGACATATATAGTCGGCATATAAAAGAAATGTATGCTCGAAAGATCCAGAGTCCAAAGCTCTCATAACGCTTGTTTTTCCGTGTACGTGGTGTTTACACCATAGACTCTATATCCTGACAATAAATACAATCACGTCTGATAAATATACATCGTTTTTTCGTTTACATAAACGTGATTGGGCTCATCGCTGACCTTCGTCATCCGACTCCATCAGCTCAGTCGGCAGCAACGCCGTGCTGAGCACGCAGCCCAGGGTGATGCCGCCCGCCAAGTACAAGACAGCATTGACGTCTCCGCCGCCGCCGCCGCCGCCGCTGCCGCCATCCGTCGCCCTGCCGTACAAGCTCTGCGCAATCAGCGGGCTGACGATGCCAAACAGCCTGCCCCAGAACCCCGCGACGCCGCACGCAAAGCCCCGAATCGCCACGGGAAACGCTTCCGGCGTCCAGCCGTACAGGACGGCGTTGAACATGGACTGGAAAAAGTATTCGAGCGTAAACAGGCCCTCGCGCTTGGCGACCGTGTCGACCGTCGCCAGCAGGAAAATCGACGTGCCCATGAGGGCCGACGAAAACACCATGGTCCACTTGCGCCCAATCGCGGGCACGTGGTACATGAGCGCGCCGGCAAAGACGCCCAGGATGCCGGGCGCGTACGTGTAAATGTAGGCCGCGTACGTAAACTTGAGGCTCACGTGGGCGGCGCCGTTCTTGATGGCCAGAATCCGCGGCAGGTAGTGGCCCGCGACGGTGAACCCGGAAAAGTCCATGGCGTACGTCAGCCAGGTCAGAATGGTCAGCCGCGTCATGCCCCAGCTGCTGAAAAACACCCTGTACGCCGACAGATTGCCCACGACCTTGGCGTACGCGCCGCGGCAACGACGAAGACGACGACGACCATGACCGCCCGGCTGCTGAAGCAGCTCAATCGACTGCGAGCTTCGGCTACTACTGAGCTCCGTCTCATATTCCCGCTCGACCGTCTCAAACACCTCGGCCGTGAGGCGGCAGCTGCTCGCCTTGCCGCCCGTAATGTAGCGCATCGTCGCAATCGCCTCGTCGTCGCGGCCCGTGCACACGAGAAACTTGGGCGTCTCCCGAAACGAAAAGACGAGGAAGCGCAGCACAAACACGACCAGCGAGAGCCCGCCCGTCGTGAAGAGCAGGTAGCGCCAGCCCTGGTTGGCGCCCCGCGCGCAGCAGGCGGTGCCGGCCGCGACCCCGCCGCGGCACGAGGGCAGCGGGTTGGCCTCGGAAAAGTTGGGCGAGCACGAGTACGTTGGGATGAAGCCAAAGGCAATGGCGCTCGAGACGATGACGCCGAGCGGCTGAAAGAGCGACAGGCACGCGAGCAGGAAGCGCCGGTTGTGCGGCACAAACTCGAGAAAAATGGCCGAATCGACGGGGATGTTGCCGCCGACGCCAAAGCCCACAAAGGCCGTGAGCACGAGAAACGTCGTGTAGTTCTCCGAGGCGCCAAGGCAGAGGCCAAATACGGAAGAGACTAGGCACGTCAAGTTGAATGCCCATCGGCGGCCTATGTTCCTCACCCCGGTTTGATTAGCCCAAGACATGGCATGTAAGTGGACGCAGCCATGATTCACGAGGAGAAGAGGAAGGAAGGAAGAAGAACGTACCGATGACATCCGCCATGAAGCCCCAGAAAAACGCCCCTGCGGTGAGGCCCGCGTTGAAGCTCGTGGCAATGTTGCCCGACTCATGGTTACCAAAGCCCAGCTCCTGCTGCATCGGACTCAAGACCAGGCCAAACGCCTGCGCCCAGAGGAGGTCGATAAAGTAGCCGCAGCCGCACAGCGCCCACACGCACCACTGGTACCGGCCCATGCCATACGCGTCAATCTCCCGATTGATGAGGGTGCACTTGCGCTGGTACAGTGACAGCCCGCGCAGGCTCGACAGGTCCGTCACCGTCGACGACAACGGCTCGAGGTGGCCCGTGGAAGGCGTCGGAGAGCCGCCCGCGGCCGCCTCTGCAGCCTTTGTCTTGTACATTGCTTGATGGCAGAGAATCTAGCTTCTATGAAAAAAAAAAGCAATGAGAGAGGGGAATCAAGGGATAGGGGAAATGAAAGTTCATGATGCCAATGTATGACGTGGTCGAAGTTTGGGAGAGGGGGGGGGGAGTTTGTTGGCCAGCCGCTCTCCCGCCCGTCGATAACAAGGCGGCATGTCATGCAACGTGCCCCGCTGAAGAATTGGAGCATCAAATCTCAGCCATGGGCGAAAGCTCCTTTCTGACCGGTGAAAAACGCATCCGGCGATGCGTCTACATGTTCACGGCCTCACCTGGGTGGGGGGGGATCTTTGCTCGCTAGCTTGTAAGACCGGTACGTATTAGACAACACCATCCGAGAAGTAAGCGTCACTCGCTCCGAGCTAATTGGCGCCAACGAGCTTTAGCTTTATTTCCCGTAATCGACAAGTCAAACATGCGATTGTAACAGGGAATTGGTCATGCATCTCTTTCTGGGATCGGTTGAGGCGCTAACCAAGATGGCGACAAGCTTGTTATGGAGCTCCGTGTAAAATCGGCGTACTAGTTCAAGTGTCAGTACTCTGATTCACATCCCGCAGCAATTCGCCAGGATCGAGCAAAAAAGTTGGCTGTGGCGCGCTAGAGTTGTTGGCAGCTTTTCCTTGGCGCGCAGCCTTGTGCAGAAAGGCAAGCTCGCCTTGCTGATCATCGTTGCGTCTGGCTCCAAGGCTGCCTGGCTGCTTGGTTGCTTGGCTGCTTCCCGCGTGAAAATCAACGTTGTAACGTCCCCTAAGTCATGCGAATGCGCCCAATGTCTTACTTGCTCGTGCCTCACTTTGGCATTGTCCGGAGCTGATCCGTGCATGGGTATAGTTGAGACGTGTTGTAGACAAAAGTCTTATATCTAGCCTTAGTAGTAGTACAGGTACAAAGAAATGAGCAGTTGACGCGACCACCAAGACGTAAACGCCCAAATAAATACAAAATGTGTGGACTTTCGATTCACCGTAGAATGTCCCTTCCTGTTTTTAGAGTTGAGAGGATCTTGGACCAAAGGAGCACAGCCCTACACATCCAAGTTTCCCAACACCGGTTTGTAGCCATGCAATGGATAGGATGCAGCAGCCTTTTATAACCTGCTCTGCTCCGATCTCGACAGCTCCTTGAAAGCCGGCGAGGGTTGTGGGGAGTCGCCAGGCGCAGGCACATCGCCTTCACCAGGAAACGGCGGCGGCGCGCTCTCCTCTTTGCTGCCACCAAAGTATTTCTCAAAATCCTCATTGTCTTCAAAGGGACGCTTGCCCAGAATGCGCACCATGTCGTCACGCACGAGCACCTCCTTCTTGAGAAGCTCCTGTGCAATCAGACCAACCTCCTTCTTCTTCTCTGTCAAGAGATCTTTGCACCGCTTGTAGGCTTCCTCGACGATTCTGTGCACTTCTTGGTCAATCTGTTGAGCCGTAGATTCGGCAAAAGGCTTGTGCATGCGGTTCGGGTCGTTGTCGAAATGGACCGGGCCGACAACGTCAGACATGCCCCACTGTGTGACCATGCTACGAGCCATCTGGCTCACCTTTTTGAAGTCATCACTGGCTCCGGTCGTGACAGTAGGAAAGTGCAACTCCTCAGACACACGTCCACCCATGGTCATGGCCATGCGGTCCATAAGCTGATTTGTGCTCATAAGGTAGGCATCCTGAGGAAGGTACTGGGCATATCCCAAAGCGCCCTGTCCGCGGGGGATGATGGAGACCTTGAGCAGGGGGTCGGCATGTTCCAGGAACCAACCGCAAATAGCGTGGCCGGCCTCGTGGTAGGCAACAGTCCTCTTCTCGAGAGGCTTGAGCACCAGGGACTTGCGCTCAAGACCACCAATGACACGTTCGATGGCGCGCTCAAAGTGCTCCATCTTGACCTCCTCGGCGTTGGCACGGGCAGCAATCAAGGCAGCCTCATTTACCACATTGGAGATGTCAGCACCAGAGAAGCCAGGCGTAAGTGTGGAGAGACGTCCGACCAGGTGATCAATGTCTTCGCTCGTGACAATCTTCTTGAGATAGACTCTGAAGATTTCCTGACGGCCGCTCATGGTCGGGCGGTCGACATAGATATGCCTATCGAACCGACCGGGACGCATCAGCGCCTTGTCCAAAACATCAGCACGATTGGTACCCGCAAGAACAACGACCTGCTCTCTCGTGTTGAAACCATCCATTTCCGTCAGAATCTGATTCAGAGTTGCCTCACGCTCGTCGTTGCCTCCAAAGCCCTTGCCGCTATCTTGTCTCGCTCGACCGATGGCGTCAATTTCGTCGATGAAGATAATACAGGGAGCGTTTTTGCGGCCTTCAGCAAACAGGTCGCGCACGCGGGAAGGACCGACACCGACAAACATTTCCACGAATTCGGAGCCGCTGACGCTGAAGAACGGCACACCAGACTCACCAGCAGTGGCCTTGGCAAGCAGAGTCTTACCAGTACCGGGAGGGCCAGCAAGAATGGCGCCACGAGGTATCTTGGCACCAAGCTTCTCAAACTTCTCGGGTTGCTTCAAGAAGCTGACAAACTCCATGATCTCCGTCTTGGCCTCCTCCAGACCGGCGACGTCGGCGAATTTGACCTTGACAGCGCTTTCAGCGTTGAATTTCTTAGCTTTGCTTTTGCCAAAGTTAAACATGCCGCCAGCGCCACCACGTCCTCCCATAGAACGCTGCGTGTAGAGAATCAAACCAATGAACAGTAGCGTAGGACCAAACGCCAGGAGAATATTGCCTATCGTGCTGCCGCCAGCCTCGTAGCTGACAGGTATGCGCTCATTCTGGGGGACGCCGAGTTGATCCTGAGCCTCTTCCAATTTTCTCTCAAAAGATTCGACAGAGCCGATTGAAAAGACATATTGTCTCCGATCGTCGCCTTGATCAGCGCTGGGATGGAGCTCTACGCGAACTTGAGATCCATTGACGACAACCAGCTTCTGGACAAGACCTTTGTCGAGGAATGCCTTGCGCATCTCTTGCCAAGTGATTTGCTTCTGGGACATGGAGCCACCGAAAGAGTCTAGCGAGTAAAGAATGATACCGAGGAGGAGGACGGTTTGCATCAGGCTGATTCGGACGTTGATTGTCTTGCTATTGTCATCGCTGGGTCGTCCCTGATTTTGGTTCTGGCTTTGGTAGTTGCCATGCTGTGGCCCATCTTCGCCGACCTTATTCTGCGTGAATTGACCCTTCTGCCTGTTTTCCCTCTCAACTTCCCATGCAGCAAGTCGCTCAGCCATGGCGAAAACGCAGCGCATCAGGCGGCCCTTGTCCATGATGGACAAGTTGCCAGGGCCTTTTCTTAGCTTGGCAAGAATATCTCGGATTTCAGCCGGTGCTCCAGTTTCTTGAATGCCCTTGAGAATTTCGTCCAATGATGGTCTTTGAGATTCCGGAATCACTTCATAAAAGACTTGCATTTGCTTGATTTCCTCCTTGCTTAAGTAAATCCAGCCCTTTGGCAAGGGAAATTGCCGGCGCCCCTCCTCATTGGCACCATCTTCCTGGATGTCTTCCTTGTTCTGCTCGTTCGTCTTTTCGTCGGTGTCCTTTTTTGGCTTTTGATCTCCGTCATGTCGCGGAGGTTCGGAGGCAAAACATCGGATTTGATTGGCGTGGCTGTTCCGCAGGATTGGGGTAGCGGTGGCTCGAGAAAGCGATAGACGTACACCTCGCTGAAGACTGGCCTGCTGAGAGACTCTCAGGAGCCGCGTCAGCTGGCCTGTTTGTCGTAGAAAGCGTGACATTTTGGTGGTTGATGTTGCGCAGTTTGCGGAACCACCGGCCAGATGATGGGTGGGCTTGTTGCGGTTGAAGCTACCTCATGAGCTGCGCGAGTCAATCGTTGGACGGCACAAGGAAGAATCTATGGATGACAAACATCCACTTGTTGACAAGTCAAGCGATCAGTGGCTAAATGTAATTGGCGATGGAGGTTACTCCCATCCGAGAGCTCCAGTCATGTAGGTATGGGGCGGCGCATGCTCAAAATTACATGATGTTCACGTGACTCACTTGCCGCGGACTTTGTGTCGGCCCTGGAGTTGCATTGCATCATGGAACAGCGCAGTTATGAATAATAAATGTTGTGAAAATAATGTTACATGTATCTACGAAAATGTCCATCTGATTTCGAATCTGGCCCTCTTTTCGACAATTTCTGTTCTGCCGGCGACTGCGTATCTGTTTGCTGTACTTGATGCATACATGCCGCTTGTGTAGCAGTGTCGTCAAAAAGCCGCAGTGTCAACACTCCTGATTAGTATCGACCGAATATTGCCACTTCCCTTTATCGGCACGGAATAGTCCAGGCCTTTGCGACAGGACACATCGATATGCTGGCGAACCAGGTTCTCTTGCACATCTGGTGTGTCGCGCCAGATCTCAACGGAGGACAAGCTGGCAAGCCGGTGAGCCAGGTAATTCTTCACCACGCGCAGCGCCTGCGGTTCGTCGCCGATTTCAAAGAGCAGCAGCTTCGGCTTGACGTGGTAGGCAATGTCCAGCAGCCTAGCGTAAAAGACGTCTGAACTTTGCCACCCCGGTGGCGGCTTGAGATGCGCGCCAGGCACCAGTGCTAACGCAGGCTCAAACTTGCGAACGGAATGACCCATCTGGCCGCGGCCACTGTTCCAGACGTCGAGGGAAATATAGGGCGGATTCGACGTCAAGACGTCCCATTTCGTAGAGAGTATGTTCTTCATATCCAAGTCATTAAAGATGTCTCTTTGAGTAATCTGCACTTGCTGTTGGTCAGAGGCCATCTTCAAGTGTCCCAGACTTGTATTCGCAGCCATATTCTCGCGGGCCAACCGGACGGCTTCAGCGGAGACATCAACGCCCTGTACTTGCAAGCGCTTGAACGTTTTTTGAAGCAGAGAAAACAACAATAAAGGTATGCAGCCTGTGCCAGTACACAGGTCCAGAACCCTCAGCTCTTGTAGTCCATCCCGGCGTCTGAGACGCTTCAACTCATTCGCGAGATGATAGGTATAAGCCTCCGTTTCCGGCCGCGGGATGAGAACCCCAGGTTTGCACTTGATGTCCAAAGGGCCAAAGGGCTGCGACTTCAAGACATACTGAAGGGGGATACCCTGGCCCCTTTGGCGGCAGAGCGCATGTAAGCGCTGCTCTCGCTGAGCAGGCCTGGTGTTTAGGTTGACGTATTCTCTGATCCAGCGCAGCTCGTTGAGCGCAAGAGGCAAGCTTTTGCAAGCAAGAAGCAGCGTGGCAGCATGGGGCGAGTGTTTTTTGGCCTGCCGAAAAAGCCAGGGCGGGGTTCGCGGCATTGGCTGCTAAGATGACTCCATTGGCGTGTACGATGTGTGCGTCGTGTTTGCTGCAAGCTTGTTGATGCGACGAACCCCGTGTGAGGTTTTCAACTTGGGCCCCACGCAGACGTCTCAGCCAGCCAAAAGAGATGCGCGATGCCGCATACATTGAGAGCACAGAGAAATATGATGAAAATACTAATTTGGCTTACTGTCTCTTCCTTTTCTATTACTGTTCAACAATATTTATTTTGACTTTTGAAACCACAAAGGCTCGTCAGCATTGACAGCCATTGGCACTCGGCAGCCGCTGACAAGATGCTGGGGAAATATATCAACAATAATCCTACTTATTTTTTCATCATCTTCAAACCAGCTTTAATCCAAAGCGCAGAGGCAAAGCAAAACGCAGCCTCCCACAGAATACTGCGCAGAACATGGTACTTGCGATTATCCTGCAGTTTGATATAAGTCACCACGTAGGCGAGACGGGTAATCAGATACCCTATACTAAGAAAGTTGAGCGACGAGTTCTCCACGCCTGCAAAATTGCCAGCGACTACTGCGGCAGCAAAGTAACCCAGGGTCTCGAAGCTATTGTCTGATGCACTTTGGGCGCGAAGGACGCGGGCTTTTGTCTACAGCCCGCCACAGAGAGATTAGCATGGGAACAGGGGCCGTGACGGCAAGGCCGAGTTACACATCACTCACCTCCTTGTCGAGCGTCTCTGATGCGGCTATTGCGTCGTTGAATTTGCGAGGATATGCATTATCGTAGTGTTTGCGTGCATTGAGAATGGCATAGGCATGCGGGCCAATGCACGTACCCAATAGCACAGCAGGGAGCTGCTCGGGGTCAGTATTCTGCGGGTGGTCACGCTACGCGTAAACTTGCCGTAAAGAATGAAAAGTTGTTGGTCGCCATTTCGTTAATTCTTCAAGGATATCAGTGTCTTTAAGGTGTATTCTTTAGTAAAGGGGACGGTTCCATCAGACATGTGGGCTAGTCGAGACCTTTATAGGTACTTGTTGGCCTTGCTGGCGGCGGTCGTGCAGAGCCGAGCAGCACTCCGTAATTCAATCTATTAATTAGAGCGGGTTATGAAGTTGCTTTCATTCGCCCGACGGAGCTTTCTTCTGCAAGTTACATCCGAATGGTGTTATTATTGAAGCATCATTTTGCACCTATAATTATGCGAGCCTCGCCGTGCCTGGCTGGACTGAGTCGTCGTCTCGGGTGCAACCCTGCTTGCCTGTTGCCTGCCTACCTATTCAATGTAGTGTGGCACCTGTACGCTGCAATATGCGCCAGCGCGTGGTGGTGCCTGCAGGCTGCAGTGCCTGCTTGCCTACTACAGCGTGCTACAGCGGGTGAGCGGCCGCCTGGAGGCGCATCGCGACGCGGTTGGTTTAGCCGATTATTATCCACCATTTTTCAAAGCACCTAGCCTCGACTTCATTGAGCCAGTTCGACGTTCTTTAGGAAAATTTGTCCAATTTGGCGCAAATACTGCCAACTCGCGAAACTCGATCATTTTGCTGTACAGCCGTCATCGCAGAGCTCCCTTCTGGCCGCCAATTCGGTGTCCGAGCCTCGCGCGCCGCCGACTCATCGCCCGGCGCTTACTCACCTCTTCCAGCTTGAACCTCACACACGACAATACGGCTCTTCGCCCGCCACCATGAACGCGCCCGACCGGTACGTCCTGGCATCTCCACGAAATTCATCCTTGAACTCACTTGATGCTTTGGGATGGAAAGCTTGAAATCATCGTCGAGGTCGATGCTGACCAATTTTTCCCAGTTTCGAGCTATTTCTGCTCGCTGAAGGCGAAAAGAAGATTGAGGAAAAGGTCTACTCTGGTAAGGGCGCGCGCGCGCATATTGCCAAGCCAGTCCGCCAGCACAACCTCTAACACGCTCTCTCAGGCATGTCCAACACGTCAGACTTTCTACTCAAGAAGGAGGACCACACCCTCGGCAACCTGCTCTCCGAGCACCTCAAGCTGCATCCCAACGTGCTCATGGCCGGCTACAAGCGTACGTCTGCCTCCCCCCCTTTTTTTTCTTCAGTAAGGGAATTGCATCAACTGATAATTTTCCTCTCTAGTCGGTCACCCCAACGTCCCTGAGCTCTTCATCCGCGTACAAACAGACGGCACGGTGACCTCGCGCGACGTCTTCACCTCGGTGTGTGAGAAGCTCATCAACCAGCTGGAAATGCTGCATCAGAAATTTACTCGAGAATGGGAGCTGCGGCGTATTGCCAACACGGGCGCTCAGAGCGACATGCAGGCCAATGGTCTGTGAGGAACAGTCACGGCGGGATCGGTTCATCTACGGCGTTGGGGTGTCTTTTTTTTTTCTTTTTCGACGTAGTCATTTGACAACAAGTAGTTGTTTTGCATATGGATGAATACATGCAACTCAATCTCACAACAATACATCCATTCTTCTGAAGTCTCCATGTCCACCAAGTCTTGCCGGGCGCCGCTCGTTGCATCATGCTCGACTACGGCGCTCTGTGATATTTTGCGTTTTTTAGCAGCTGTTGGGTAGCAAAGCGGTATTTTAATTCATCCATACGTCATTAGCGTGCGCCAGCTTCGACCTGAGCTGGGTATATTGGTCGTCCACTCGTGCCATCCAACCAAATCAAGCTTCGCCAGGACCCTCACCACCAGGGATCAACTAGACATGCTGTTAGTCATGATATCTACATCGAAAGACCCAACTTGCGTACCATGCAGATATTGTTGCCGTTTAGCAGAATCTTGGGAAGTTTTGTGTGGTTGCCAGTGTAGTCGCTGCTTTGGTTAGTACAGCTTTCTTGTTCCCGAGTAAATTGCCCTTACAATTCTGTCACATCTTCCAAGACCATGTCTAGACTCGTCAGTAATCCATTCTATTGGTTATCGAGTTGAAAGAGCCAACTTACTGACATAGTCGTCGAAACCAACAAGAGTGCCGCTGAATTCTGCATCAGAGGTTAGTTAGTATGCCTCTGAAAGCTCGCTGGCCGATAGTATTCCAGATCCTCACCCTTTTCGCCCTTCATAATAACCCAGATCCTCGATCCGACACACTTGTCGATGAGTTCTGTCCCCGATTAGCTGCTGCATCATCGAATACAAGATGCTTGTTCACTCACCGAGTGGTAGTAATTGAGAGGCCATATTGAAAGGTGTGTATGGTTGAAATCCCTCAACGCAATGAAGGATAAGAAATCGCTCAAAATATTACGTCACAAGTGAATCTCGCTTCTCAATGAGTATAGAGCCTCAATCAAGTCGTTTGTGTCGTGCCTCATCCAGCGCGCAAAGGGAATCTTAGCCCAAAGAGTTCTTGACCCGGTCTGCACGTGCCCATGCACTGATGACTAAGCCAACCACTGCGCCCACTGTAACGAAAGCAAAACCGTCCACTGAACCACCGAAAGATAGCGGTCTTGTCGCCGCCCAGCTACCGAGGATTGCGGTCGCATAATGGGCCGCTCGGGGTTATATTACCTGCATTGCTGCCTGGAATACAGCGCATTACTGGCCGCCGACAGCAAGGAAGAAGGATTCGGCCATGGATAGGTAAGGGTTCCTTTCAAATGGCACACAATAAGAATGCGCGGGCCGCCGCGCAGTTGCTGGCGAGCCGTCACTGTCGAGTCCACGCCGCGACGGGAGGTCCGACGATAAGTGCGACCAAGACCGCAGCCACCATGTACTCTGAGCCGTCGAGGCGGACGCGGAGCTCCGCGAGTCCGAGATCCAGTCTCTGGATTATGGGTATAGATTTCGAATTCGCTCCTAAAGCCGAAGCTGAAGCGGAGGCTCCGTCTCTGTATCCTACGCTGGACTTTAAGCGCTTCTTTCACTCGCAAGAAGCTGCCGCGGGCGCAAGCGACAATGGACTGCTCAACAAGGCTTCCCAACCTCTACAGCTTCCCAAGGCACCTGACACGGCGACCGTGAAGCCAGACTGGGGGAATCAACCAATCCCGTCAACAACTTTTACGACTACCGTCGTTATTGAAAAGGCAACCACTGGCACATCCACGGCACGCACACAGCCCGCTGCGCAGCCGCCCGACACAGTTTCCAAAGACGCCCCCTCAACTATAGAGCCGCCGCTTACATCTCTCGACTTTAACATTTCCAAGGATCTTTTCAAAGCCGCCCTCGGCCAGCCCAAAGACAGCGCCGGCTCCTTTTGGTCTCACACCATGTACAAGAGCACCTCGGCCGACGGCACCGTCCAGGACGTCCAGGTGCACTACTGCACCAGCAGGCAGGCCATGGAGGTTGCCTGCCAGACCTACTTTGCCCACGAGCCTGTCCTCGGCTTCGACCTCGAGTGGGTGGCGTACGCCACGCGCGGCGGCGGCCCGCGCCAGAATGTGTCCCTCATCCAACTGGCCAGCCCCGGCCGCATCGGCCTCTTCCACGTCGCCCTGTTCCCCAAGGCCGACGAGGACGACGGCGGCGGCGGCGGCGGCCTCGTGGCGCCCACCTTTCGCGCCATCATGGAGGACGCCGCGGTGGACAAGGTGGGCGTGCACATTCAGGCAGACTGCACGCGGCTGCGCAACTTTCTGGGAGTCGACGCGAGGGGCGTCTTTGAGCTGAGCCACCTGTACAAGCTGGTCAAGCACGCCGGCGACAAGCAGAGGCGCAAGCTGATCAACAAGGTGCCCGTGGCGCTGGCGACGCAGGTGCAGGAAATACTGAAGCTGCCGCTGTTCAAGGGCGAGTCGGTTCGGGGCAGCAACTGGTCCAAGGCGCTGACCTCGAAGCAGCTCACGTGTAAGGGCGACAAGAGACCTTTTTTTTTCTTTTTTTTTTTTTTTTTGGCGTAAAATACCCTTGTTGTGGGTGTTTGCGGGCTGGCTGACATTGTAATTCTAGATTCCGCCGCCGATGCCTACGCGGGCCTTCAGTTGTACCACGTCTTGGAAGAAAGACGGCTCGCCATGGATCCTCCGCCAGACCGGCCCCGCCATGCCGAGCTCAGGCTTCCCATCCCAATACCGCCCACGCCGGTTGTTTCTGATGAAGAGTCCGACGTCGACTCGGATCTAGAGTCTGTCAAAGATTCGAGCTCAGAGTTTAGCGACGACTCGATAGAGGAGACGATGCTGGAGCTAGCCATGGCAGAGAGCTCGCTCATTGCAGAGAGCCCGTCCATCGCAGCACGCCCATCTCGATCCGCCGCTGCCGCTCAAACCCAAACCCAGAGCCCAACGCGCGACGCGCGAATAGTAGCCGCCGAGGCCGAGATGGCTCGGCTACAGGCTTCCCGTGCCCGCGGCCGCTTGCTGGCGAGACCCTCGGCGCTGCGCACGTTTTACCTGTGGCAAGCAAACGACGACCTGGCGCCCGCCGACGTTGCCCGGCTGCTGCGCGAGCCCCCGCTGCAGACGGGCACCGTCATCGGGTACATCTTGGACGCCATCAAGGCCGAGAAGCTTGCGTTTCCGAAAGAGAGGCTGCGTCGGGAAGTCTTGTCCATTCTGCATCCCAAGCTTGCTGGCGGCAAATACCGTGCCGTTGTAGAGCGATGTGGGCAGGATGAGACGTAAAAAAGCCCTACCAAGATGTCATGTATATACTTTCTTATCTATAAACGTTTCCAACAGTACAATGCGCATGATGTGCATCAATCTACTCAGCTTCATAGCATACACGTGCTAGCATGACGGTGGAAAAAACGCATTCTTTTTGCTCTGAAACCATCCCTAGTCTATATATGTACATTTTATTTCCTTTCTTTTTTCGTCCCGCCGTCCATCTACTCCGCCAGCAGCCCTTGCCCCCTGTTTATCTGCACCTTTTTATCCTCGCCGCCGCTGACAATCCCCCACGTCTTATCCCACGCCACGCTCAGCACCTTGACGCCATCGCCCGCCGGAGGCAGCTTCTTGCCCCTGAGCCACTCCCTGCCAATCGTGTACACGGGCTGACTGACGGCGCCGCCGCCGCCGCCCTCGTCGGCCGTGCCCCCCGCGCGCGCGCTGCGCAGATCCCAGACGCGGCAGGTGCCGTCGTGCGCGCCCGAGACGAGCGAGTAGCCATTCTCCGGCGACGCCGCCAGCGACACCACCATGTTGGTGTGGCCGCGCAGCGTCATGGCCGCGGTCGC